GGTCAATACAAATGGGCCCCCAACGGAATGCCCCACATGCAAGCCAAAATTTCAAAAATGTTTATAAATTTAGTTCCAAAATTTGTTTGCACAAAAATTTTTTTAATTCTAAGGTTCAAGCCCTTAAAAATTTTCAAAATGTTTTTAACCAAACCATATTTATAAATGTTTCAAGGCACTGAAATTAAATTCAGTCTTAAAACCTTTTAAAAAATAGCATATTGCTATTGTACATTCAGGAAAGATAAGTTTGTCTAAAGTCATTGAACCAACGACAAATTCAAACTTAAACTGCTTATTTAATTCCTAAGATGTATCTATATTATTTTCAAAGTAAAAGGGACATAACTCTGCCAAAAAAATCATCGAACCATGACCAAATTCCAACTTTTGACCTGCGCATTTTCTTTGACATATCCATATGTCAATTTTGAGTTGAATATGTAACACTGTTGGGTTGATAATGAACAGAAACTGTAAATTTCATATCATTTCCAAAGTGAAAGCGGCATTACTCTGCCAAAAATCATTGAACCATGACCAGATTCGAACTTGGTCTGCGCATTCCAAAAACATATCCATATGTCAAATTTGAGTTGAATGTGTTGTACCATTGGGGAGATAATAAACCGAAACTTGAAAATTTCATATTATTTTTTTAAAGTGAAAGGGGCATAACTCTGCCAAAAATCATCGAAACCATGACCAAATTTGAAATTGACCTGCGCATTCCTTTGACGTATCAATATGTCAAATTTGAGTTGAATGTTTAATACTGTTGGGGGAGATAATAAACAGAAACTGAAAATTTCATATTATTTTCAAAGTAAAAGGGGCATAACTCTGCCAAAAATCATCGAACCATGGCCAAATTTGAGCTTGACCTGTATTTTTCTCATGACATATCAATATGTCAAGTTTGAGTTGAATGTGTTGTACCGTTGGGGAGATAATGAACGGAAACTGAAAAATTTCATTATTATTTTCAAGTAAAAGGGGGCATAACTCTGCCAAAAATCATCGAACCATGACCAATTTCGAACTTGACCTGTATTTTCTCAATGACATATCCATATGTCAATTTTGAATTGAATGTTTTGAACCGTTTTGGGAGATAATGAACGGAAACTGAAAATTTCATATTATTTTCAATGTAAAAGGGGCATAACTCTGCCAAAAAATCATCGAACCATGACCAATTTCGAACTTGACCTGTATTTTCTCATGACATATCCATATGTCAAATTTGAGTTCAATATGTGCAAGGGTTATTAAGATAATGAACGGAAACTGATGATGACGGAAGGACGGAATGACGGAATGACGGAACAGGGTAACACTATATGCCCTGCCATTATATGGCGGGGGCATAAAAAAGAACTGAAGAGGCGCCGTGATTTCTTACCGATTTTATAAGTTCGCTTTCCAAAGCAACACCTTTTATATTTGGGGCAGTAACAATCTGTATCATATTATTGTTTAAAATGAGTAAATGTGTTGCATAACCCTTAAATCTCAGGGCTCAAGCTAGGTTCAAAATTTAGGGAGAAGTCACTTCTCCCTCCAGCTGCTTTAGGGAGAAGTGGGGAGACTTTAGGGAGAAGTGAGGAGATTCATTTATCGATGTTTGTTGTATCGCAATTATGTTGACTCACTGTACATATCTTATTAAATGAATTGGATTTGTGTTACAACAGAATATTCAATTTTAATTTAAAAGTAGTTTGAAACAAGTAATAAGAATGAGTATAATGTAATGCAACCATTGCATTAAATGAAGATAAAAAAGCCATAGTTGATTCCTATCATGGATCATATCATGGGTGGATTAACAGTTATTCCCTTCTGATTTACTATTAAAAAGCTTGCGCCGGACATTATATTCATATTCACTTATGTTGTAAAGAAAATGAAAGTAGATAACGAAAGAAACGATCTTTAATTTAACTTCATTTGTAATAAATACAGTTTAATACGCCGTCAATTTTATCAAATTTAACTCGTCGACAAAAAAGCTTTCATTTAAAATTACCGTTACTGTTATATGTCGAGCGGTCCTCTTAATTCTGACAATCATTCGATAGTGAAAATTTAATTGACGTTTGATCCGTCCATCATAAATAATTGTTACGGGTAGTTGTATGTTAGCGATTTAATGATTGGTTTAATAATGTCGCCTCGATTAAAACGTGAATTACGATTGGTTTCTCGCACGTATCGGTAATCTCGCCGTGGGCGGAGTCTAATTGTTCCTCGAGTGTCTGTTAATTAGACTTTTATGACATGTTGGTAAACAAACGGATTAATGACATTTCGCGTTGATTGAGATGCATGACAGTCCCTTTTTCCGGCGGCGTGGGTAAACACACACAACATGTTATTCACAGTTATTGTTATTGTTGGTAATTTTCAATAATGGATCAATAAAATCGGGCGACTTCATCTTCGCTTTCATGTAGGATGTCGGCGAAGTCAGACGGACTTCGGCGACTATTTCGCCCGAATCGCCCACTAGCTCGAGCCCTGAATCTTATAAGATAAAATAATATAATATAAAAACTGATTGGAAAAGAATTAAAGACATCACAGATACATTTTATTTGGATTTTAAAGGCGTTTTGAGCTCCACACCCCAAGTGTCTGTGAAAGAAATTAGTGGCGCAGCATTTTGTTTATGAAACATTGTAAAATAACCGCGTTGATTCTCACCATGCATGTATTTTATAAAAGAAAATAATTTCTTAGACGGCATAAAGGGAAATATATAGAACAAGCAATTATCATAGTATTGCAAGCAATCCATAAGTCCCCTACCGGTAAGAGCCCAAGCAGCATTCTGAAGGGCCATTGGCCATTCACTTAGGTTCCTATTTTAAGTAAATTTGTTGAAAAAGTTCTTTAAAAGTGATCACAGGAAACAGTTTTTATGTACAGACAGACGGACTGAAGGACACTCTAAAGTTATTTTTTAAACATCCCTGTTATCAAAATATAACATTTTTAAAATCCTATCATGATTGAAGAAGTTGGAGTAAAAATTACCAATTTCTCAAAAAAAAGTCTAAGTTCAAAAGGGGCATAATTCTGGAAATAGTCTTGCTAGAGTATTGAACACTCACAAATGTTGAGTGATAATAAGAAACATTTATATGAAGTTTGAAGTAGATACATTCAGAAAAAGAAGTTATTAAAAAAAAAACAATGTTTTTTTCATGAAAATTTTAAGTTCAAGGGAGGTAATTCTGATAAATTTTGTGCTAGAGTTGTGAACCTTGTCACATATGATGTGGTTGATGACAAGCAACTTATATTTAAAGTTTGAAGAAAATACCTTAAGAAATAAAGAACTTATAGTGAAAAAACTTAAAAACTAGAATCAGAAATCTTGAAATTCAGTCTATTTGTTGCCATAGCAACCAGAATTTTCAACATAGGAAGATAAGAAAAGGATGTGCATAATTTCCATACTGCCATCTACCCATATGTCAAGTTTAATAAACATATTTTCAGTACTTTTTGTGTTATCACTGGATCCAGGTTATGTGTAAAATTTGCCATATTTTCAATCTATTTGTTGCCATAGCAACCAGAATTTTCAACATAGGAAGAAAAGAAAAAGACGTGCATAATCTCCATACTGCCATCTATCCATATATCAAGTTTCATAAAAATATTTTCAGTACTTTTTGCGTTATCGCGGGATCCAGGTTATGTGTAAAATTTGCCATATTTTCAGTCTATTTGTTGCCATAGCAACCAGAATTTTTAACATAGGAAGAAAAGAAAAAGACGTGCATAATCTCCATACTGCCATATATCCATATACCAAGTTTCATTAAAATATTTTAAGTACTTTTTGCGTTATCGCGGGATCCAGTTTTGTGGACGGACGGACTGACGGACGGACAGACGGACTGACGGACGGAGGGTAAACCTAAAGTCCCCTCCGGTAAACCGGTAGGGGACTAATAAAGCTTTACTGCATACCAAATTAATGAAAGTCTTTCGCAAAACAAAAAAAAACAACAACAAAAAAATGAAGCGGGCACCTGTTTCATGAAATAAATTTCTGAGTATTTTTTTCCCTGCTACCACGATCATTTTAAAACAATCTTCATACCTACGTGTGTGTGTGTTTTTCTTTCTATAAACATCTTAAGAAAGCTTTTTGGAGTAAACTATTCAGAATTATGAACCTGCGTGGATAAGAAATTAAAAAAAAAATAATAAAAAAATAAAGAAATTTACATGGGATGTTGTTTTCGCACATGTATACATGTATAATGTCGAGGCAACGCGTTGGACAATTATTCGTTTTATTATTGATAAAAAATATTTTGAACATAGAAAGTATCGTTTAATAGTTAATCAACCTGATATACATGTATTAGTCTATGTTTCCTGATAGATATTTCATGAACGGGAAGGGCTAGAGACTTGGGGTCGGTCTCATTTGGAATCTTAATACAAACGTAAAATAGTGATAAAAGTTTTTTTAATTGTCTGGCCAATTGTTTTCACAACGGCCCGGGAAATATATCCCTTGCTCGTAGGCTCGAATCTGGAGTTTCTGGCCTTCTCTTAACTTATTGTATATTTTTAAAGGGGGTCATTATTTACATTTTTTTGTTGTTTTTTTGACACATTTAAGATGAACACAGAATTTTTTATCAATCTGGTCATATTTTTTCTTCCCAATTCCGATACTCGTGCCTGTGATTTATATTTGAATATTTTTCGAAAAACGTTAAGTAGATTCTAATATCAAGTATCATAGAACCGTTAAACAGTTAAAATTTCCTTTGGAATGGAAATAATTGTTATTTTTATCAAAAAATGGTAGCTTCTACAGTAAATAACCATTTTATCCTACATTTTTTCTGTACTATATGATGGTTGGCCAAATAAGGCTTATATTCTCGGTAGATGGTACAACCAGCAGGAAAAGCCAGGATACCTTAAATTACAATCAATTACAAGGGGAGACAATTCAACCCTACCTGCCGGTTGATTCAGTGGTAAATCATCTCTTACAGACATGCACATGAGCGTGTAATGAGCTATATCGAAATATGGATACATCTTTAACTTTGTGACTTTCGTCGCGATGTCCATAAATGTCTGTGGATCCATTTTTTAAAGGCAAATTAAGTCACAGAAGGTGATGATGCTGGTGATTCTGGCTTCTTCCAGTGTGCGCACGCGCGAAGGACACTTCCGACTACTTATAAGAACGGCCGCAACTTCTCGGACCTTTCCGTCAAACTTCGGCTTTGTACAAGTGCCAACATTAAAACCACAGACACTTGGGGTGTGGAGCTTAAAACCTTTAAAATCAAAATAAAATGTATATTTGTCAATCCCAGCACATATACTGATCGCGGATAGCTCAGTTGGTTAGACCACTGACTGTCACTCCTGAGGTTCCGGGTTCGATCCTGGGTAACACCCTTGGGATTTTTCAGAGACACTTTCAGTGTTTCCCACCTACCTAGACGTTTACTGGTAAGAAACCCAGGTAATCCTCGCATGTATCAGTGCTATACACTGGGCATGTAAAAGAACCAAGGGATCTATTCAATAAGAGCTAGGGACTGGTTCCCGCGGACTCCCTTGTATCTCATAGCTGTCTCTAGAGTCTGCTGAGGTAAGGACCCTACTGGAAATAAGTGCTTGCACTTTCGTAGGTTATCCTTGCCCGCCGGGTCTAAAGAAAATCAATCAATCAGATCATATATATATATAAAAAAAACTTAATATAAGCCGTTTTGAAAAAAATTCACATTTCAACGTCTATAATAATACACTGATCTACTAGTGTACATATCAAAGGGCATCCAAGCCGGCCGTTCATCATGAACTTTGGTAGGCTTGCTAGAGATAAGAATTTTGAATGCATTTTCAATGGAACGTACAAAACAGTAGTCAAAATGTCAAAATGTTTTATTATTATTATGATTGTAACAAATATACAACAGAATATTAAAATAGCAATAAAAGGGACTAATATAGAAATATCACATGCATTTTTTCACGTCAAATTAAGAAAATGGTTTCTTTTAATATCTGGGAGTTAAGATACAGTAGCTATATTCTAAGTCCCAGATAAATACTGGAAGAAGTACACACAATGGAATGAAAAAATTGTGATGAATTTCAAAAATAATTGTACGTTAAAGCTGGGACATAAGCTTATCTTATGTCCCAGGTTAAAGATCCTGTATGTTTTGATCAAAGTGGTAAACCGCACTAAGTGAAATTATATATATGTACATAATTATGCAAAATAAAACAATTTTCAAACATCGAGAATATGTAAAATATCAGAGACATAGATAACAGAGATAGGCAACTTCATATCACGCGTGCTTGCTAAACTTAAAACTTATAGCAAGTAAAACTTATTAACCAGATGTCAAAATCAGTAAAATAATATATTTTCTGAAAGCTTATGCATTTGTCTATGGCTGCAGGTGAAAATATTTACAGTTCCCATTTAAATAAATGATACATCAAGTTACTAGGTCGTGGCCACGAGATAGCTAAGTCGTGGCCAAGAGATACTATGTCATGGCCACGAGTTACTAAGTCGCGGCCACGAGGTACTATGTCGTTGCCATGAGATACTATGTCGTGGCCACGAGTTACTAAGTCGTGGCCACGAGATAGCTAAGTCGTGGCCACGAGATACTATGTCTAGGCAACGAGTTACTAAGTCGTGGTCAATAGATAGCTAAGTCGTGGTCACGAGATACTATGTCGTGGCTACGAGATAGTTAAGTCGTGGCCACTAGAGAGCTAAGTCGTGGCCACGAGATACTATGTCGTGGCCACGAGTTACTAAGTCGTGGCCACGAGATAGCTAAGTCGTGGCCACGAGATAAATAACCAATCAAAAAACACTATACATATTATGAATATTTTAACCTTAACAACTTACTTTTACATCCAACATTAATTTTTGAAAATACTGAAGATATTCACTTTGAACTTATGTCACGGGGGAGAATCACGCCGTTCGTTACCCAAACAAACAAGATGGCGGATGCAGCAAAAAATTAGGTTTTCCCCTTTTTTTCTCTGAAATTTGTGATGTTCTTGTTTAAATGTATATAATATTATAACCTTCTCCACAATTTTCCTGGCGCAGAGAATTTTATTTTATGATGTTTCGTCCCGTACTTCATCTGAAATGCGCGTCACGAGATTCGAAGCACCGCTTTGATCGTGGTAACGTACGGCTTCTTCTCTAAGATTCAATGTTTCGTTTACAGATATTATATTAACTGTACCCACTGACTTTAAAAAGTTATAGTATGTCATCATCTAAGCATTCATGCCCATTCTGGCTAGAATAACCACTGAAAATATTAATATCGGCGCATTTTCCGGAAATGATAACGTATGGCGCACAAAATATGTATGATAACGTACGGCGCATTTTTTTCTGCCTTCTTGATTTTCTATATAATAGTAAAGTTATGTTTACCAGACATATAAGGATGTGTAGAACCAAATGAAGAAAGTGAAATAAATAATATTAGTGTCCAGCTTTATTTGTCATCCAATGAAAACGCTGTATTTCCTTAAAAATTCTTTGTGTTAATTTCCATAGAAAAACAAAATTCGATAATATATCAAAGTCCGTTCATATATTAACCTTCTTTTTTCATAGTGCTTCATAGAAGCGCGTTCGTAAAAGATGGACAGGTACTTAATTGACACTAAGTATGTTGAATTCATCCGCAGCTGTTCTACGCAGTAAGAAATATTTTCCGATCGCTATCACTCCCGTCGAAGTTTCTTAGAACAGCAAGGATGAAAACTAACATATCCTTCGTAAATACTATTTTAATAGTAGCGTAATAATTTTTACAATCGTTCTTTCATAAAGATAATGACGTCATCTGAGCGCATGAGCAGTCTGGCATTAAAGGTTTCAGATGGGTTTTCGGTATTGATGAAAATATCGAAATCCAAATCCGATTTGAAACTTTATATTTCATTGTCGGTGAAATGTTTACCACTAGAAAATTATAAGAAAATTTCAATGTCACTCTTTTATTGCTAATACCTGCAATACTTTTTTTAAGAAATTGATTTTTTTGTTGAGGCGTTTGTGGGAAAAATCGCCAGAATATGATAGACAAATTCATGAATTGCATGTAATTGTTTTGATCAAATTATTGCGTTCCTTTCATTTATAATAAAAAAGCTGTAGGCTATGTCGTTTTATATCTGACGTCATAGTGGCACAAAATGGTAGCGTTTCAATATTAACCGCCCTCAAATAAACAGGAAATTTCTTATTTACTAAATTTATTGAACTTTTTCGCATACATTATTTACTAAATCATTCAATAAATTCAATATAGAACTTACACATACGCATTATTCTCTGTTATGTATTTTTCTTTCAATGAGCGACCAGATTGAATAAACAGGGGCTGGTCTCATCTGGGTGTAAGCTAGTTGCAATCGCTTTTCGTTTTGTTTATGTTTGATCCTTATCAGGAATTTGTAAGGAACAATTTTAGACTTTTTCTTTGGTAAAGAAAATATATCAAGCCGTCCGTACCTTTATAACATTTTTGCTCCGCTGAATGCGTTTCTTCTTTCTGATAAGGGGATAAGAATCATAAGACCATAATTATCGCACAATACTGGCGAAATTTAATGTGGAGACAACAATACACAAATGTTTCCTGAAGTGGAGGCTTTTCATTCCACTGTGCATTTTATAAAAATATTCTCAAACTATACACGTGTATACCAGTTTTAATTGGTATATTAACAACAATATCTATTATGCCACCAGCTAGAAAGATATTATACCGATGGTGCAGCATTGTTCAATAAATTATTTCTGACCTGACAAACATTTTTTTCAGATATATATCATTCCCTGCGGTCTGGACCGCAGGGTATTGGTACGCGTTTAACTTTTGAGGCATGGAGGAGCACGTGACCTGTTTTCGGTACATGGAGGAGCATGTGATCTGTAAACCGTACATGATTGGTTAATTGACCTTTTCGAAAACCTGGCTAAATACCGTTTGCCGGTACGTTATTGATTTACCTCTAGGGAATTAGTCAGAGTTACACCTAATATTTTCTATTAATTACTCTGTGTATGCCATTGTTACTCAACCAAATAGAAATTAATATTATACCTCATTTGCATATGCCCTTCTATATTTAATATGACGTCATCCGGTCAATAAACCGCATACAGACCGGGGCGGTCCATAATTCTTATTTAGTGTCCAGCTTTATTTGTCATCCAATGAAAACCCTGTATTTCTTAAAAATTGTGAGTGTTAATTTTCATAGAAGAACAGAAGTCGATACTATATCGAATTTCGTTCATAGTCGCCTACTATTTTTCATAGTACTTCATAGAACCGCGTAGTGACGAAATTAAGTGAAAAATAATGAGGCCAAATAAAGCTTGACACTAAGTATGTTAGTATTTATCCGTAGCTGTTCTACAGAAATTAGAAACATTCTCCTGTCGCTATCGCTCCCATCGAAGTTTCTAATTTCTGTAGAACAGCACGGATAAACACTAACATATACATGGACTGGATGACGTCATATTAAATATGAAAGGGCGTATGTAAATGAGGTATATTTTATTTTGTTGTTAAATGATTATTTTTACTGAATTTATTGTTTTGTTTCACATGTTGATCAAAAGTCATGATTTGTCTTTTATTTATTATAAATTTAATTTATACAGTTTGTGAAAATCTTTTAAATTGCCTGTTTAATTTGATTAACTAAAATTGAATAACAAAAGAAGAGTATGATTATTTTTGCTGTATCGCTTGAAAATAATAATAAAAAATCCAACTAGGGTTTGAGACACACACTGAACAAATTAATTAGTATTTGAAAGCAAATAATAGTAAAAATGACAGCAACAAAAGGGATGAAAGGACTTAGATTCGGTATAATATAACAAATAAAACATGGCATGGGTAAAACTCACGGAAACGCCAGTCTGCTATGCAAGAAACTTGTTATTAGTCCCCGGTAGAAACCGGCGACTATATTTGTAACAGTTTAATATTATTTCTTGCATAGCAGACTGGCGTTTCCGTGAGTTTTACCCATGCCGGAAATTTCATCTGGCATGGGGGTGCCAGATGAGTCGCGTGCCAAACAACAACATCATTTTAGCGCACTTTATGAATGAACCGCGCTAAAATGACGTCGT